GATGCCTCCATGAAGTTAATAGCTGTGGGTGTTCATTTTCTCTGCTTTTGCAATGTTGTCTTCTACACACCAGCAGTAATTTGTCTTTTATCCTGCAGAGACTTCCCTTCTTCACTCTTAATTTAATTTTATTTATCTCATTTCTGATTTCATTTTCTCTGTTTTGATAAAAGACTTGTTTATTGTAAGACTTGTAAGACTTTGTTTATTTGGACTGCATATACAACAGATACTTGAAGTAGAGGGAAAAAGGTGGTGTACTGGACTGTTGCTTGGTTACTTGCATGGTTGGGTGCTGACTGAATGCTACATTTCCAAAATATCTAATTGCTTCTTGTTCTCTGAGCTTCCTATTCCTTTGATACTTTGGCATAAGGAAGTTTTCCGCTGGATTTGTTAAAAACAGAGAATACTTGCGTTGCAGTGATGCTGCCGACTTGGTTATGTGATGATAATAGCACTTTTGATTCTTCTGCTAACAGGTTTGCCAGTGTGACAGTGGGACAGTTCTGCCTGCGTGCGCGCTCTGACGCTGTACGTAGTGGTCACGCTGCCATGGCCTCCACTCTGTTGTGTCTATCTAGATCTATCAAGATCTATCAAGATGTACCGAACCACAGAAGATAAAATGTTTGACATAGTTAAAGAAGGAGAGGGCATTGCCTCAATGCCAGTTCTAGCATGCTTTTTTAAGAATATAGTAAAAATAAAAAGGAAATTAGCTTAATTATGGCAAAATAGAGATCAGTAGCTCAGTTCAGAATTTAGGGATCAAGGAAAGTTGCTTTAAAATCAAAACTGCTAGAGTCAGGACTAGTTTAATTCATCTTCCTCCTCCTTCCTTTACTTTCCAGGGTATTTTCAATGTATGTAAGCAAGTTTGAAAAAGCAAAAAGCAAAACCAAAAAACTTGCATGCTGTAAAGTTCAGTCTTGAAAATTTTTCTTCTGAGGCAATATATCTCTGCTTGAGACACAGGAAAACTCGATGCTTTCATCATTTTCTGACAAAAGATGCTTATTAAAATGAAGTTGTTACTTTACAGAAGCACTACGGTATTTTTTCCTTCTTTTTCTCCCTGACTCCAAGGTCAGTTAATATCTTTTCTCTCTGGTAAACAGATGGCCCAGTGAATATGGGCTTTTCTTGCGTTCTGAGCAGCTGCTGAAGTGGAGATAATAAGTGCCATTTATAAAAAGAAAGGAAGGCTGATCAATCAGAATACCTCACAGTAAGCGGGGACAAAAAAGCACTGACCACTATGTGGTGGTTTCTTCCACAGCATAAAGGAACTGTGTTTGTCTATCAGCGTGTGTAATGAGGGACTGAAGAAAAGATCTCCATGCTCATAGGAGATGTTTTTTTTCTGTTTACATATTTTTCATGCATTCAGGTACAGTTCTACCCCATGCAACCAACATCTTAGTGAATGTGGTCTCTGCTTGAAAAATGTCAGGTGTTGCTCGTGAATAACTTGGGTTTTCATGATTGTAAACATGAAGTCCTGCAGTCATTTATCTCTTAAGTGGATAGATGCTGAATGGTTTATAGCTTGTGACAAACTCTGTCTGGCTTTAGTTTTTTTTTAAGGCAAATTTGCAAGCATTGTCAACATTTTTGTAACATAAAGGAATCTTGCAATTATTTTTTTTAAAATAAAATATGCAGCAGATACCCTTGCACAGTGGCATTGATTTGAGAAACATACCTCAAATATCTTTCCACAAAAAAAAAGAATGTGTATATTTTCTTCTCTGTTCTGTTTCGATTCTTGCATCACCCTAGTTGACCCCAGCTTTCCCTTCCAAAGAAATAAATAGTCTGTCAAGTGCTGACTTGTTTTAGCTGGCCAGACAAATAAACCCAGGTCAGCCTTCCCCTTGTGTCTCCTTACTTATTGCTGCAACCACTTGTTTGTTTTTATTACTTCTATCTCGTTAAAGGAGAGAGAAGCAGCCATTGAGTTTAATGTGCTGAGTTTTGCAGGAAGATGTTCAGCACTTACTAAAGGTTTTAGATGCTCCTTGTCAAGAGACTGATTATCTTAAACGACCTGTTAGTCATCTGGTTTAGAACTATTAAAGCCTTCTAACTTGCTAATCCTGTATGCAAAGGTGCTAGTTCTGGCCTCTGGTACCAGGTAAAGGATGATGAAGTATGTGATATTTGATTAATACTGCGGGGGTGCAGTTTGCGTGTGTGTGATGTTTACTCACCCAGAAAACGGTGTTTCTGTTGCCCTTGTGCAAGGTCAATACCCGCCTTGCTTGTGCAGAGCTCTCCCGTGTCAGGCCTGCTCCCCGTTTAGGGCTCTGCAGCTTTTGCTCTTGAAGCCTCCAGCCGTGCAGAGCGCTGCCACCAGGAGCAACTTGCCTGCCTGCCACGCATGAGGCCAACAACACCTAGTTGGTTAGCGTTATTTGTAAGTGACATACTGGTGTGCATAACTGTGAATAACTCCAAAATAAAATCCAGTGGTAACTTCATTGATGTCTCTAAGAAAGCAAGTTGTAGCTGTTCTTAGTCTTCAACAATAGTGTTTTTTTTTTAACAATTTCAGCTTTATTTTTTATTTTATTTATTTTTTTTTTTTACAAAATCTGCAAAATTTTGGAAAGCCTAGGGGAAAGATCATCTTAGAGCTCTGATGTTTTGTAGTATAGTTTATCATATTGTGAATTACTGGAATTCAAGAGACATGGCACAATTTATCATAGCCTATCTTTGGTCCTAATCTTAATTCTGGTCTGACAGTGTCACAAATTGTGTTTTATTTTCATATCTCTGTATTTCAGAGCTACCTACATAATGTATATGCCTCTGCATCTGGTTAAGCATCACAGCTTTCTGTCATAGCTGTTCCTCCTAAATTCCTCTTCTGAAACACCCTCTTGTCATTGGGTGTCCCTGAGCGTGGCTCCCTTCCGTGAGCACAGGTCACATCAGTAGCTTTTTTAAAAGAGCTTTTCCAATTCTAGATCTCAAAACGTGCTCTTCAACCCCCAGCCTAGGTATTTGTTGGCATCTTCTTAGCGCTGTTTGCTCTTGTTGATGGTCGGTGTCTCCGTTCTCATCTGGTTGCCGCAGGCAAAGCTTCGCTTCTTAACTCACTCACTCCCTAACAAGTTGTTTTGTGCCTTCATGCAGCACTTGCATCTTTAAATAAAAAAATCCAAACCCATTTTAGCATCTTACCGCACATCTCCAGGTAAAATATAAAGTAGGTATGGATTTTTTTTTCTTAGCTTGCTTCCAGAGTCTGTTGCTAAGTACTCTTGTGTGTAGTCTGGCAGGTATCAAGACTATGTTGGTTAACACGATTTGAAAAAGCTAAGAATAATTAAGTGCGTGGCTGGCAGAAATTCTGTTTTTATCCAAACAAATTCATGTTGCTTCTACATCTAGAAAAAGGGCATGTTGTATTAACTGTTTCCTATTCATTTTTTTCCAATACTGGGAACTATGGGACAACAATTTCATCATCAGATGCATAGTTGTGTAATTTTCATAACAACAACAGTATATTTTTACTTTGACATTCACCTAGCCTTCCAAAAGTAAAATTTTCTATTTCTTCCATCTGTTTTTTTTTTTCTCCATAGGTGAGCTAGGCAAAGTTCAATCATTTATAGTGATAACTTTAAAGACTACAGATCACTATATAGAAGGTTGTGTGACTCATTTGACTTCTAACGAAAGCGATGCTTTAATCTTTCTATTATGTACATAATTTATTCATAGACAACATTTGAAAAATGTTTTTTTTTCCAAACTTCTTTTTTCTGCAAAAAGAAAAAAACAGTTCTAAAAACATTTCTGAGGGCTTCACTAAAGAATGAATAGAAGCTGCTTGGCTTAGTTCTGGTACATGCCATGTTGCTCCCTCTCCTTTATTCTCTGATTTCTCCACTATGTCACATTTTCCCTGTTTTTTTTTCCTCTGCCTACAGAAGTCACAAGGTTGTTAGGTAGAAAGGGAACCTTCGGGGCAGATTTTGTTTGTTTGCCACTACTGAAGTGACCCTTCCCCAGTGAAAGCAGCTCCCTGTGACTTTTCTCTGCCAAGGCCACCCTGAGTGTCCGTCAGCAAGACCTGCTCGAGTTCTCCTTTTTCTCTCGGACTTGCTCAGGCTCAAACACGTAGGAAAGGCAGCGGCAGCGCGTGGTGTCACCAGGTCCCTGTGTCCCAGGTCTCTGTTTGGGACCTTTCCTTGGTGCTTGGTGAGGAAGGCTGAGGCGTCTCGGGTGTGGAGAACTCCAGGCCCCTCCAGCTCCCTGGGGAACAGGGATTTAAACATAAGCACTTAAGCTGGAAATCAGGGAGAAATAGTGCTTCATAAGCTCAGCTCTTTTCCAGTCAGCAGGTTCAAAAAACAATTTGGACGAGAAATACCTGTTTGAACGGCCTTTTAAAAACGTGTTAACACAAAAATGGATGTAGAAGTGCAGAACTATCTTCCCCATGTGACTCGCGGGCTGCTGCTGTTGTGTTTTGCCCATCAGTAGAAAAGGAGACATTTTGGAGATGTGAGGATGACTGATTTAAAAAAAAAGAGGGGTGGGGAGGAGGAGGGTAACTGATCCAGGAAAAAAAAAGCCCTGTTTTTGTTCTTTCTACATGAAATGGCCCCAAACTGCTACTGCAGTTTCCAACAGAGAAGAATGATTTTTTTTATTTCTTTTTCCTATCCTTCCTAATGTAACAAAAACAGTAATAACTTGCCTTTGTTTCGTGCATAGCATAACACACGGAAAGCAGGAATATTTATCTGCTGCTGACCTAGCTGTATTTTATCATTAAGAATAATTAAAGCTTACTTTATTTGCAGCTACATGGACTTCCTGCTACCTTGTTCCATTTGAAATAAATTAACACTTGACCGTGGGCTCATCAGATATGAGCTTTCTTGTATGTTCACCCTAGCCTCTGTTCACCCTCTGTTTATATGTGAATGAGAGAAAAAAGTAAACAGCAAAACATTTTTTTTTGTCCCCTACAGAACTGACCCCTGAGGAGAAGGCGCTGCGAATCGCCAAAGCTATGCGTAAGCACTCCTCAGAGGTGAAGGAGAAATGGGAGAACCTAAATGCTAGTGCCAACATCTGGCAAAAGCAAGTGGACAAAGCATTAGAAAAACTGAAAGACTTGCAGTGTGCCATGGATGACCTTGATGCTGACTTGAAGGAGGCTGAAAATGTGAAGAATGGCTGGAAACCCGTGGGAGACCTGCTCATAGATTCCTTACAGGATCATATTGAGAAAACTGCAGTAAGTGTGCAACTTCTGGGAAATATTTAGGAAATATTTGAAAGTCAGACCTCCTCATTCTGTTGCACCTGATCTTGGGAAGTACGTGTATACCATTTAAGTAAATGTTCACGTACAGTGCATAGGTAATTTATGGACAAGGTCCTTCTGCAGTCATTTTTAGAGTCTAGACTTGAGGTCAGTTCACCCTTAAACATATTACCACTGCGTAGGTTTTAGTCTCAAAGAAAATCCAATGCTTGCATTCAATGTGTCAGCTGTGATTGCATAAGGACGTGTGATTAGGTGGTTACAGATTTATACGGCATATAACTTTAGTTATATACAAAAAAAAAAAGAAAATTTGTATTTACACGATTTCCACTTAGAAAAACTCTCTAACCTGCACCTAGCCCATGGGTGTATTTGGAGCTTTGCCTAAGCACTGAAGTATGAATGAGCTGAGCCACTTTATCATCCAGGCAGATGACAGCAGGCTCCTCCTCTTTTTTTTTGTAGTGGTGAGTTGTCAGACCCATTAGACCATCTTGGACAACTTTGTTGTTTTTAAAAGGAAATCTCCCTTCTGCAAATTTTGTTGCTGCTTTCAAGCTTAGTGGAATCTAAAATTTTTAAACTAAAGGCAGTCAAAGCAGATTTATGTCCATCCTACTGTTGATTTGAGTAATATGTCTTCTCCTCCCCATCTTATATTTTAATATAGATACTAAATAAAGTGCTAGCGTACTGATGCTAAATAGCTCTTTGTTCTTGTGTTAGGGAGCAATTTGTCATATCTTAATGGTTTTTCTGTAAATGAGAGTAAAGCTAAGTCTTTTAGATTTTCATTGTTGTGGAAAAAACGAAACATCTGCTGAAGTAATAGGGACCCCAGGGCTCTCCAGAAGCCAACTGCCTCTTTCTTACCAGGAGGCTACTGTGCCTGATCGGAGTGCATTTAAAGGGAGGTAAATAACTGAGTTGTCCAGAGAAGACCCTTTTTCTAGTTGTTTTTCGTTTGTTTCTTAATGTTTAGTCAAGCCCTTTATGGGATTGAACAATTAACTGCTCACAGCAAAAAAGATATCCGATGCATCTTTTCAGCTGTAACTCAGACTACATCAATTTTGCTTTTAATATTGTAGTTAGTTCCATTTGACTCGGTAAGCCTTTTTTTTTTCATTTTAATCATTGTAATAGTTTTAACTGTACAATTCTAATTAGGTAAAATGTTGTACTCCTTTTCTTTAGAAGATGCATTTCTTCATGCTTTGCTAATTCAGTAATAGTATTTAAATTGAATTTTTGTCATCTGCTTTATAGTGGAAAACTGTGATTACTCTTATTAAATACATTTTGTTTTAAGAGTGCTAGGTAGAGACTGTACTACAGAAGCTCCTAACAGAGTGTTGTATTTTCCACTTGGATAGAAAGACTCTAAAGCCATATGGCATCATGAAATACCTTATTTAAAATGTAGTATTCTGATTTAAGTGCCTGATTTGGTTGCGGGTGGTTGGGTAATTTTCATACTATCTCTGTCTCCAAAGATGGATTTGGAGTTTTGGAGTGAATGGCCTCTCTTTGCTGGAAGACTGGCAGTTGCGTACAGTGGTTAGCGTAACCTGCCACACTAGTCACCACCGGGTAGAGTTTAGTTTGGCTTTCTTGCTGCTCAGGAGATGACTGAGCACAAATGTGTGCTTCCTCTTGCAGGCTTTTAGAGAAGAAATTGCTCCCATCAACTTGAAAGTTAAAGCAGTGAATGATTTGTGCAGTCAGCTCTCTCCGCTGGACCTTTATCCATCATTAAAGATGTCTCGTCAGTTAGATGACCTTAACATGCGGTGGAAGCTTTTACAGGTGCGTTTCTGAATGCCTGCGGTAGGGGTGGGTGGCAGGACTGCTCCTCTCTTACCCTCCTGCTCTCCCAAGAGATGCTATTACACTGTTTCCAGTATTTCTCCCTTCAAGGTGTAACTCTGGCAGTACAACAGCAGCAAAGGGAGCTGCCTTTCCTTCACCGTCTTGACCGAAAGCTTTTCTTTTTGGCTGCCTCAGCAGTTTATTCACTCAAGAGACCACATTAATCTCTGGAGACTTTTGCTGCATGCTTTTTTATGCAGTCTTATAGAAGTATTTTTACTCCATAAATCATTGTTGCTGAAAACCAGCCTGCATATTTCTGTTGTTTCCAAACTATGTGGAAGTTGGTTTATTTTGTTTTTGAGTCTACAGTTTCTGCAGGGAATTTCGCTTGAGGAGACTTGAGTATTAGTAGAGCTATAACAAGACGTGAGCTATACCGTATTTAGCTTTATAAAGCAGAAGAGGGGCTGGTCTAAGCAAGATTCATATTGCTTAGTTATGATTATTGGTGTTTAAATGAACTGAGAGAAGTAAATTGGAATGTGTCTGATTATAGTTAAAACTCATTTACACTATCATACTGAATGATTTAATAAAGCTGCTTACATCACTTACAGTTCATTTAGCAATCTTACCATTTTTTCACTCCCCTTTTTGTAGTAAATATTTATTGGGAATCAACTTCTCTGCATCTGTTTCCCTGGCTTCTAAGGGGTATATAAAGTCTTGCAAAGAACTGGGAAAAGGCTGGAGGGTTGTTTGCCTGTGCGGTGAAACAGAATTTTGTAAAACTCAAATGTCAGCTTTGGGGCTAGTAGCTCTGAATCAGTCTCTCCTGAGAGACAAAATCATTAATGGGTCATATCTGTTCTTCCGTCTCTCAGTATGATTTGATATTGGAATTTGTTTCCTTAAAGAGAGTTAATTAAGCAGCCAAAGCCCTGCATGTTCTAGTATAGTTTGATTAGTAAGCAGGAGGAAGCCACATCAGCCAGTGAAGCAGTATCTTCTGAAATTGTGCTAGGTTAGAAAGGCAGCTGTGAGATCAATACAATCAAAGTGAGACCTGCTGACTCTAGAGATTTGGACAAAGGAAGGGTTGGGAGGGAGTCAGAAATTTCAGTGGTCAGCTATAGTCACCAGTTCATTATTGATCTTGTACAAGAACACTGCAGGATACTCTTATCAAGCAAAAAAAAAAAAATAGTAGTCTTGAATGGCTGGGTGGTAAAAAAAAAAGTGACACAAAGTGCTCCTTACTTTATTTAACCAAAATAAACATAAGCCACTATATTGCTATATTTATTTTTGCTACAAAGTAAATGTAGCATAAATTTTATGTACCTGTGTTTATTTGTAGGTGTCAGTAGAGGATCGTCTTAAACAGCTGCAGGAGGCACACCGAGATTTTGGGCCTGCATCACAGCACTTCCTTTCCAGTAAGTTCTTTGAGTGAATTGGTGTATTTGAGAAAGCCTTGGGTGCAGTTGTGTCTCAAACACTGTCTCCCACTTAGTGACTGCCCTCTAGGTTCTACTCTGTCTGGAGCACAAAAAGTTCCTCCTCCTCGTTATTACTTGCCTCCCCCTTTCTGTGGGGGTGGTTCAGCTTCAGTCTTTATAACTTAGCTGAAGTCCCCACTGATGTGCTTGCTGCAGGAGATCACCCTGTTATCTCCCCGAGTTATGATTCTAACTCTGGTTTCTTGTGTTTGTTCTTGGTCAGCTCAGTCAGACCTTTGCAGTAAGGTCTGGCTGCTGTCTCTTGAATTTGTCTCCTCGTGAGACAATTTTTTGCATCTCTCTTATTTTTTTCAAATTCTTAGAGAAATAAGCCTATTGTCTATGAGTATTCCTGGGAGAAGGTAAAACCAGATGCTTAACTTGTTCATTCTCATTTTGACTTATTCATTACAAATAGATAGATTGTGGTATCAAGATCCATGTTGATTTTCTGAACATCTAGCACAACTGCCATCATCAAAGTTTATGATACACGATGTTAACCCAGGCAGCTTTCCAACTTTTAAATGACTGCTTCAATATTAGTGGTAAAACAAATTCAAGAATTTTGAAAAATGAATATAAAAATGAGCAGCTTTGTCCCAGAGATATCCTAAGCACCATATGTGCTGTATTAGCTAAATAGCTAATATAATTTAACATATTAAGTAAATCTTGGTTTCTTCTTGAGTTATGTGTCAACAGTATTCTTATTTCAATTTGACAAGCAGCTTCTGGGTGAACAACATGGTAAATGATGTGCAGTGCATTTAAAATATTGCAAGGCTTACACAAAACAATTCTTGGAGGCTCTATTCCCCTGTTTAAATTAACAGAGAAAACCAAAAACTTTAGAAATACTTTGTTTGTTTCGGTTTTTTTCTTTTTTTTTCTTTTTTTTTTTTTGTATATACAAACTTGATTGGAAGTGTACTGTTGCTACTGTGGGTTTGTAGCACTTCTACTCTCAAACCTGTAATCTTGACCTGTAAAGTACAACTATGTAGTAAGTTACAAATACAAATATATAGAGGCACCTTTGGCACCATTAAAAAAATGCTAGCTTTGGTAGACAAGTCAATCTGGATTGTGTAATTAAAAGAGATTAGGAAGCCACAAAAGTAAATTGTAGTTTCCTCTACCTAAGCTGTTTGGAGAAATTCCTGACTGAAGCCCTGGGCCCTGATAATGTCTCCCCACCTAGACCAATGCATCACCTTAAGGTGACTGATCAGATTCATGAACAGATCTTTACGTGAAACTCAGAAGCTTGCCAGGGTGGCTGATTTGATTTGCCCTGATTTAGATCATCTTCTTCTTTTGGCTTACAGCATGCTGCCACAAATAATTTTATTTGCAGGACAGACAGTTGGGAGAACCTGGAATGAGCAGCAGGGGAAAAAGGAGAACTGGAATTTCTCAAAATTCTTTTTTTTTTTTTTTCTGGAGTAAACGCGCAAAGAATTACATCCAAAGGGACTGTGAAGTCCAATCAATGCGCCTTGTTTAGGGCATCTTTGGGGCTTGAGAGGACATTTTTTTCTGTATTACATGCAAAAGTTAAGGGAAGATTTCCAGACGTCATGGTGGTAGATATTGCAAAGAACCACAGACAAATCCCACCATATGCCTTCAACTGCCCTGTCTAAAGCATCTCTGAATAACATCTAGCCTTTTGCTAGTATCTGCAGCACTCCTAGTGAGTGCCAGAATCAATAACTACTTGTTCAGTTTTTGTTGTGAAACTGATTTTAAAGAAGACTGGCAATTTCATTTTGCAGAGGTTCATTCAGCACAGCCAACTGGCAATATTTTAGGGAGGTTTTTCCCAAATAAGTATAGCATCACTTGATGTGTAATAATTAACATTTTGTCATAAATTTATTAGGTTGTTTGGTTCATATCTCTGTCAGTGCAGAATATCTTTTAGTTTTTAGTCAACTCCAAGCAAACTGTGACCAGAATTTTTTTCTTGGTTAGCTGACATAATTAGTGTAGTTGAACCTCAGCAGCTGTAGATGCCAAATTGCAGCAATAAAGAATGAAACTCCAGAGCTGATGTTTCTTTCACCTATTTGCTTGATTTTCATGTCTGTCCAGCATTATGAAGAGAGAAACCTTTTAGTTTCTTACCTATATTTGAGCATTTAGTTGTTAATGGTTTTTGCTTACCAATTAATTAATTCTTATTATAATTGACATTTTTTCTGTGACCTGTAGGTTGTGTATGAACCTACAGACCTTCAGTAAATACCCACTTTTAAATTGTGCACCAGCTCTCCTGTAGGCCTGAACATTTCTTCCAATAAATCTCCTGAGGTCTTTAAATAAGGACAGTTCTGTTGTGGAGTTCAGCTTTGTGCCTTTTGTATCTCACTGTTTAGAAGCCTCCCTGGTGTTATGGATGATATCTGTTGATATATCAGACATTCATAAATCCTGCAAAGATTGCTGCTGTTCAGCAAGGGGTACAAAGACAGGTTTTTTCATGCTTTTATGTTGGTTGTACAGTGTTAATCAATATTACTTTGAGTTGCAAATAGGAGCTAAAGGCTGTAACTAATAAAAATGGAGATATTTTTCTTTTTTGTTTTGCTGACAGAATTTAGTTATAGTAGTGAAGACACTTAGAAAACTGGTGTCTCCGTGCGCTCTGGGTGGATGCCTCGCTTGCTCAGAATTTATTATCCTTCTTTGGAGTGGCATCACCACATTTGTTTGATTTTTACTTTGGCGTATAATATATGGCTAAAATCATCTTGATACATTGCCTTTGTTTCCTCCAGCTGGTTTTCTAATTACTGTAAGCTTGTCTGGGAAATTATAGTTGTTCCCACTTAATTTATTATAACTGTGTTAATTGTACAAAAGGAACAATGATAGTTGGATCTTTTTTATTTGACAGGTGTTTTCTAATAATTACCTTCTGTTTATTTCCTCAGCTTCAGTACAGTTTCCATGGCAGAGATCTGTTTCACACAACAAAGTGCCCTATTATATCAAGTAAGTTTCTCTTGATTTTTAAATTTCCCATAAGCAAAACAAAGGAGTCTTATTACCATAACCTGATTTAAAAGAAAAGATACTAATAAGTAACTAAAAATGTTACCAGTCTAATCTCTCTACATAGGGCTATGCTACATGTACCATATGTTTTCATGTTTATTTTTTGTATATTGTATCATTTTGAAATAAGTAAAAATAATATAAATGGCAAAAGGACCCCATTAAAAAAAATTACCATGTAGTATGGTATACACCGACTACATCCAGAGTATAAGCTGTACTGTAAAGTGTTTTGGAAAGATTTCGTTCATAATGTATTTAAAAACACAAAGTTCATAGTCTGAAGCAGTACTGTGGTGACTAATATCTGTAGAGCCCATTTTTCCATTTGTGCAAAATTCCGACTGAAATAGACACACGTTGTTTCTCCTTCTTTAGTTTTAAAAGTCTTTAGTGTATAATCGTAGAATCATAGAATCACGGAATGCTTAAGGTTGGAAGGGACCTCTAGAAGTCATCTAATCCAACCCCCCTGCACACGCAGGGTCACCCAGAGCATGTGGCACAGGACTGCGTCCAAGTGGGTTTTGAAGATCTCCAGAGAAGGAGACTCCACAACCTCTCTGGGCAGCCTGTTCCAGTGCTCTGTCACCCTCACTGTTAAGAAATTTTTCCTTAAGTTCCTGTGGAACTTTTGGTGCTTCAGTCTGTGGCCATTACCTCTAGTTCTGTCAGTGACCATCACTGATAAGAGGCCAGCACCATCCTCCTCACTGCCTCCCTTGAGGTACTTATAGACACTGATTAGATCCCCTCTCAGCCTTCTCTTCTCCAGGCTGAACAGGCCCAGCTCCCTCAGCCTCTCCTCATAGGGCAGATGTTCCAGGCCCCTGATCATCCTTGTAGC